AAGATTTATATTGTAAGTCAAATTTTTAATGATTAGGTTGGGAGAAAATTTTTCTTGTATTTTCATTTATTTTAATTGGTTTTACAACGATATTTTAACAATAGTACTAAATAAAAAACTGCTTTGATACTCCTACTGTTTAAAAAGTGTATGCTTTAGGTAGTTATCTGTCTTACTTTATTTTATTACCGAGTAGTAAATTACTTTTGAAATTTAAGTTTCAGGAAATAAATAACTAAAATTTAACCTTTATTATTTCTTGTTAATATAGTGATATATTATTTTAATTATAGTTTAACGATCGGTGTTCGCTGGCTTTATAATAATTTGCCTCCCGCCCTAGAGAATGCTTGGTAAGGACTTAAGTGGAAGAGCTGTCGAAATAGAGTGTGTGAGCTTTACAGGAATTACACTATTGATGTGTTGGGTTTATGTTATGGAAAGGTATACACTATATTAAGTGACGTGGTTGTAGTTGCTTGAACTGATCGCGTGGTGATTAGTTTATCAACACGAGATGCTCCTCGATGACGATGATTTGTTGTAGTTGATCTTGTAAGGATCAGCAACTAATTATGCACAATCCTTATTAGGGATTATGTCTTATATAGTCTGGCGTTTTCTTGATACGAAGGAGATAGTGTCAACGCGTTTTATGTGCAGCACGGGAGAATCGACGCGTCTTCCTTCTTCGGTGGGCTCATGGTAAGCAAGGGCCTCATTCTTCCTTGGCATTCCCGCTAAGAGAGTCCTTTCCACGAAGCGTACTTGCTTTAAATATCCATGCGACAACCTAGTCAGAGCTGACAACAATGGAGAGGATTGTGGTGAATCATTTAAGCAATGGTCGCGACTGTGCACATTAGATTTTTTCAGATGTCCAACGACCGTTGGACACTTTTCCCCAGATGTCTCAGGACTTGAATCCCCCCTCCCCTCCCCTCCACCGATGTTTGACATTCGCGAGAGGTTCTCGAAATCTCGAACAATTCGTAAGTTTTAATTGTAAGCCAATTTTTATTTAGGATTTTGTTGGATTATTTATTTGATGGGATTCGCCACAACATTTATCTAGAATCAAAGCTCATGTCTATGTTATAATTATTTATTTTTTTAAGTGTAAGCTATAATTTCATTACTATTTGAAAAAGTTTTGGTAAATAAATTTATTATAAAACATTTTAAAATCGATATTTGATCTTATGGCATTGATATCTCAAACAGTAAGCAAGTCCATTACTAAGAAAATGCATTATTTTAATATTTTTATTTTTAACCAGATTATACTTTGATTTTGCCAGGCGCAAGCATTAAATTAAATAGTTATATTTCAAATAATTTTATACATAAATAAATATAATTGGCAAAATACATGAAATTTTTTGTATTTTCTAATTAATTTTTATGAGAATAACTATCATCGAAGAATATTATAATTTCACTTTATAGAATAATTAATTCTAATAAATGATTTTATATGCTAATAAGCTAATTCGCGTCATTATTAAATAAAATTGTTGTCGATAGCAGTTAAATATATGTTGTTGATAGTTTGAGCTTTAGAGCATCTAAAAAATTTTGGATTAAATTCGATTAAATAATTGATTGAAAATTTTTTTTCTTCCTTTAACTATCGATCTAAGATCTTATGAAAGTTTAACAATCGTTGGCTCTTTAAAAAAGTTGAACTCACTCGTCTTTGTATAAGTTTGTATGGAAATAATTTTGTTACATTATGAATATTTTCGATTTTTTATCATAAAAATGTTCAATTACTTAGTTGGTAAAACATAATGATACGACGACTCGATATTTGTAAATAATAACTGTAATACAGTTTTCCGATAATTTTCGTCCTTTAACTCAACTAATTGCATGTGCCCTTTGTTACGATATAAAATATATTTACAAATATTTTAAGTAACTGACGTAATTCTTATAAGTATGACAAAATGCATTATAAGCCAGGAAATATTTTACGTTGGGTATTTAAACATTAATTTTTTTGTCGACACTAATTTCATCTATGGCTTTTTTTTTATTATCAGCTCTTTTCAAATTAATCAGTGTATATATTTTATTACATTATAAGAAATAAAATTAGCTTGATATAATTACTGTATGATAAAAACATAACACATATTAATTTAATGTTGGAAAGTATCAACACCTATTGTTGATAGTTTTTCTATTAACGTCCTCCGGGCTTACAGTTTTTGCTAACATAGTCTTTCTGTAAAAATGACAATAAGATATATTTGTTTAGAAAGCATTAATTAATTAGTGAAATTAGTAAGTATAAATCGAGTAAAAATAACGTACCCTGCACTGTTCGATGTTACTTTTTTCTTTAAATTGATTCTTGCAAATTTGTAAAGATTTCAATATACATTCGGAGCCAGTGTCAGTACCCTAATATAAATTGAAATTTTAATCTCAAAAATAGAGAATTTTATTATAATTTAAAAATTTTATTGAAATTTCAAATTAATTTATTATTTGTTCAATCAGTTAACATAATATGTAAGATAATTATCGATATCTTGATTTGTACATTAATTTATATTGGAATATATTTAATAGGAGTGATAGGAATTGTATTTATTAATGTCTTAATCTGGCATTAAATTTATAGCTTTTACGTGAATGAGTAAATAAGTAAAAAAAATACGGAAACACTTTATAATAAAATTTTATCTTTAATAATATTATAAAATAAAAATTCTATTAAAAATTAAAAAATTAATTCAAATTAATACCTTCAGATGTACAAACAATATTGCAAATATGGATACTGCTAATATATATCGGAATGACATGCTATTAATATTGTATTAACATGCTATTGAGAATAATAATTTATTCTTTTTGGAATATTGGAATTTATAGAGCCGATGAAAGATATGCATGAATATATAGTAAAAGATAATGAATTTATACAATGTCATAAAAAAATTTTGATACTAAAAATACTTTAGATAGGAGTATTACGTAACTTTATATAGATTATTGAATTTCTTTTGGTTTTGCATGAAACAATGAAAAATATGTAATAATGAAATTTATATGCTGAAATATTTGAAATATAAACTTGATAGATAAATTGGATAAATAGATAAATTTAGATAGACGTGCATTAGGTATTTTCAATTTATTTTCGAATTACGAATAATTATAATTATGAACGCGAAGTTAATAATGTCAACTAAAATTTTGGTTAATATATGGATAAATATACATATATGTGAATCTTACTCCGTTCATATCATTACATTGCTTTCATTTATTCATTTTTAATTTAATTCTAAAAAAATATTTATTACAATCTTTTAGAACTGATATATTTTTACAATATTAGTATTTTGTAAAATAAGCATAAATCTTATCTCAACTGCCAAAACAAAAACTGATTTATGTAGCAAAAAAAAAAAAAACGCCATATTGACATTAAATTGAATTAATAATTTACAATGAATATATTTTATTCATTGTGCAATAACCTTCCTATCAATCCAAATGAAAGAATGAAATAAATAAATTATATATAACAATTTATTTAAAAAAAGAATGTGTGAATTTTTTATTGTTAGTCGGAAGTAAATAGTACATGATTTTTTTATTTTTTACCCAATTGCACCTTTTTTACGATTATAATATGTTTCGTAAGTCGGCCATTGTTAATAACATATATTGTAAATTTATTTCTGATAAATAGGAAGTGACTTTTTTTCTAGAGATAACAGTTTCTTTCACATGTATTGTCATCTTCATTAAAAAAATACATTACAATGAATGGTTTTTTCTCACCAATTATTTATGGCAATGATTATTAATAATAATAACGATTGTAAAATAAAGATAAAAGACCAGTCGAAATACATGTATATTAATTACAAGTTCATAATATATTGATTGATTTTTCTTCTCGCTTTTACAATTATACAACTATTATATACAACTGTATAATAAAGTAAATACCAAAGTGTTTATTAAACGAAAAGAGTTTTTATTATTATTATTATTATTTTTCAAACGTTTTATCTAAAATATTTCCATTGATTTATTTCATTTATATTAGAAACCAATTTTTTATTTTAAGTTTAAGACTAAAAATTTCATATTTAAAATATTAGTATTTCAAGATTTATGCATTTTCATAATTAATTTTAAACTCATTAATATATTTAGATTAAGGAAACAAAAATAATAGAATACTTGTATTATTCAGATAAATTACCTATAAATGACATGACAGTCTTTATATTTCATGGATACCGATATATTATTAATCATTATGTCGTTAACTATAAAGTTTGTTTATTATATATTTAGATAATCGAATTAACGGAGCATCCATTAATCGTTTTATTTTTATTTCATTTTATTTTATAAAATCTTAAAATTATATTTATAAAATAGGTATTAAGAATATTATCACTATTGAGTATTTATTTCTTCTTTAAAATTTATTAAAGAAAAATCAATAGTTATGTCTGTGATTTATGTACAGTCTGTTTTATGAGAAATTTATATTCACACACACACACACACACACACACACACACACACACACACACACACACACACATATATGGACATGAAAATTGCTAATGTTTTTGTTTAACTTAATAATAGATATTCATAAAGATATTAATATTTTATTCAATGTATGTTGTATTAATCATTTACCATAATTTCTTCATTACACATAATTACCGTTCATTGATTTATTAATAGTTTTTGATAAATATGTTGTTATAAACTTTATATGTGATAAAATTATCAATTATCATTAATTCACAAGTAAGAAAACTTTGAATGTTAAAGTGTAAATATTACGATTAATATTATCAATTCATTTAAAACATTAAATGTATAAATTTTTTTTTTAATATAACAGCAATATTTGAAATAGTATTCATTTAAAAAATAAAAATTTGTTTCTATTCGATAAATTTCATATAAATATATTGCATTATTAATTGCATTATGACCGAGTATTTATAAGACTAGATAAAATACATTGTATAACGTGGCGTATGAATATAATAATTATCATAAAGATAATTATAATTCGGTTGTGAACAGCCTCCTTGGACAGTACAATTTAGTTACACTTGTTATGCGGCTACAAATAAGTTATACGACTTGTGTCTTGTATCTTAAAGTCAAATTAAGAAATACTTTAATAATATAATAATAGTATGTTGAAGTTAGCAGGGGTGTGTTATCTAATGCTAAATATTTCTATTCTATTGTCACTGGAGACGAGAAATAACTTTTTCGAACTTATCATCGTTCATTACAGCGATTTTCACGGAAGGTGATCAAGCACATATAATTACGGAGTTATTGAATTGAAACGAAAGCACATTTCATATACATTAGATGAAATTTAGAATTTCAAATATAACTTATGTAATTGAAAGTGCGGCAACTATCATTTTATTTCACGCAATCGTTTGCGAACAATTGAGATTAATAAATTATTTTATATGATAAAAGCAGAAAGAAAAAAAATTAATGAAAAAGCTAATTCGCGTCATTGTTAAATAAAATTGTTGTCGATAGCAGTTAAATATATGTTGTTGATAGTTTGAGCTTTAGAGCATCTAAAAAATTTTGGATTAAATTCGATTAAATAATTGATTGAAAATTTTTTTTCTTCCTTTAACTATCGATCTAAGATCTTATGAAAGTTTAACAATCGTTGGCTCTTTAAAAAAGTTGAACTCACTCGTCTTTGTATAAGTTTGTATGGAAATAATTTTTTTACATTATGAATATTTTCGATTTTTTATCATAAAAATGTTCAATCATGACAAATGTTCAATTACTTAGTTGGTAAAACATAATGATACGACGACTCGATATTTGTAAATAATAACTGTAATACAGTTTTCCGATAATTTTCGTCCTTTAACTCAACTAATTGCATGTGCCCTTTGTTACGATATAAAATATATTTACAAATATTTTAAGTAACTGAGGTAATTCTTATAAAAATTGTTACACGGAATTTAAATAGTATTATCGTTAAGATTTATTCCAATTGCACCCGATGGTGGCTTCTGTTACGATCAAGAAAAATGTGTCGGGGGAATCGCTAGAGTTTCAACTATTGTTCATCACCTGAAGCAACAACATCCAAACGCTATACTCTTGAATGCTGGTGATTGCTTTCAAGGAACTTTATATTATGACATTTACCGTGATAATATAACAGCGTACTTTATGAATAAACTTCCACATGATGCAATTGTATGTATGCCATTATATAAATAATAGGAATAAAATTTCAATAGCAATATGCTGTCATAATGTTAATAAAAGTTGAAATAAAAAGTTTTTGAAGTAAACGAGGAATCAGTTTTGAAGAGAAATCTATGAATTGATTTTGTACAGTATTTTTAAATAAATATTATATTTTAAAGTTTTAGTATGAAAGAATTGACAAGGAAATTTTCGAGATTATAAAGAATTTCACATTAATATTTAAAACTTCATATTCGCTTAGCAATCTAATTTTATTAAAAATAATTTATATTAAATATATTTATTATAACTGGTAGTTAAGAAATATATTTCCTTTGACTTCCAAGTTATTGACTAAATTTTTGCAAAATAAACTCTTACAAATATTATTGATTTTGTTAATAGATTGTCAAGGGAGGGATAGTATTAATGTATGAATTTGCTGTAAAATTAATTTATATTTTGCATAAATGTACATTAAATTACATTTATCAGTATTATTTACCGTCATCTCAAGAAATATGCAGTTTTACATGTTTCTTCTCATGAAATTTATAAAATTTTTAATAGAAAAGACGTAGTTGATAAGCAATGAAAAACATATTCTTATTTAAGTTTTTTCCGTATATGTAAATATTATCATTTTAGTAACATAACATAAATAACATTGAAATCGTTTAGATTGAACATTAATATTATATTTTCAAAAGTTTGCTATTTTATTTCCGATTTAAAATATAATAAAACTTTTCATTATTATTGAAATGTAATTTGTATTAAAATTAGATTTTCAAATTCGTTATAATTTGATTTTTTTCTCTTCGCTTTGTGAAAATTGTTTTTTGAATTCTCCCCATCGTATGATAAGATAAGAAATTTCGTGATATTTTTGCTTTTAGGCAACCTTAATTATCAAAGACATATTTTATTACAGAAAAATAATATAATTTATAATTTTTTTGTTTAATAACCAATTTAATAACCAAAGAATAAATGATATTAAAAAAAAAAAAAATAAAAAAAAAAAATAAAAATGAAATAATCTTACTTGCATACATTTGGAAATATTTGTTTATTTTTTAATTATTAATTCAACAATATAATTTTTATAATTATTGTTTCGACAATATACTTTTACTACAGTATATAAGGTGACTTATTGACAATTTATTAATGTAATACTTCTTGAATATTCAGTAAGTGCAATCTAATACGTGAATATTATCTATATAATTTGTAATAAATATCAATACTTTATATTTGAATAAATATCAATAGACTATTGGAAATCATGATTTTGACGACGAAATATGCGGTTTAGCATCTTTTATGAATGAATTACGTGCTCCTAAAGTCTTAACTAATCTTGACTCAACCGATGAGTATTTGTTGCAGGTAAATATAAATTTTACGTTAATTTATTTTAGTTTAATAATAATTTTTTAATTCAACTCGAATGAATTTCAGAATCTTTATACGAATAGTACAGTTATTCTCAAAAGCACTAAAGGCATTGGCGTAATTGGTGTAATTACTTCAGACACAGATGTAAGTATTAATTGTTCAATTTAGTTTCAAACTATTGAAATTTTTATTCTGTTTATGTTTCTAATGTAATTTGTAATAAATACGAAGCTGATTTTGTATTATATTTATTTTTAATACTGTGATTTTTATTTTCTGATTGTTACAATATTATTTAGTAAAATGAACAGATGATCAATATTGTAGGATCGTTCAATAATATTTTTAAACATATTCGTGTATGTTTTTTTTTTTTTTTTTTTTTTTTTTTTTTAAATTTTTGGAAAAAATCAAAATATTATTAAAGATGAAAACTTTTCATTAAATTTTTAATCAATTAAATTCTTGAATTTCAGTTGATTTTTAGACTACTTCACTATAGAAATTTGATTTTAATTAATATAAAATTCACAATCGAATGTTAAAAACTGTAAAAAATGCTTATTGTTGATTTTATTTTTTTTTTTTTTTTTTTTTTTTTTCTTCATTCGGATCTACATTTTTTACGTAGATAATCTTTCTATAAAAAAGGGAGATAAAATTAATTTTTTTTGTTAGAATGTATAAAATGTATCAATAATGTTGTTTAAATAAAAGACAAATACTCTGCATTTTGCTATTTCATCATAATGATTATGTTTTGCACGACAGAATCTCATAGATGAGAAAATGCAGTAGACCTTAATTTCATCTTCATTATCCTACGAATAATTTGAAAATGTAATACTAGAATATAGAATTTTGTTATTAAACAATTTCATAATATGTATAAAGCAAAAGAAATTAACCAAATTTTCATATTTCATTATTAAATTCATATTTTAAATTAGTATTATAAAGTCAAGGGTTATTCATTCAATGAGTTATTAATATATAATATATCATATGCAACGATAAATTAATTTTTAATGCGAGGATTGTACATATAAAACTGTGCAAACTGTATAAATTATATAAATAATATAAATATATCATTAGATTATGTATTAATTTTCGGAATTAACAATGTAATTATATTAATATAAATACAAGTAGAATATAATCTAAATTAAATCTTTTAAGCTAATATGTCAGCAAGTAAAAAAAATCTTTTAAGTAATAATTATAATAAATAATAAAATGTTATTATTTATTTAATTATTTATTTAATTTATTTATTTAATTATTGTTTATAAAATAGTTCATTCATATTAATACCTCCAATATATTGGCTAATGTATACTGACAAATAAAGAATAATAAAAATAGAAACACTATTAGAAAATATATAGAGAACATATTAAAATATTAGAACACACTGTTTTTAAATTGTGGTAACAAATATGTTTTAATGAAATTCCCGCATTTATAGTCGATTATTATGAACTTTTTACTTCCACATTGCTATTAAAGTAATTACGTATATCAAATTGTTTAATATTTTTTTTTCTTTTTTCTTTTTTTTTTTTTTTTTTAGAATAATAAAATAGTGTATTATCACGAAATTTATAATGAATTAACAACATAAATTTAGGTGCATCGAGTATTTGCAATTTGTTTCTATATTACGAAGAAGTAATAGATATTATAACAATTTTTTTTAACGTAGTATGAACAATATTAAATCAAATTTTAACTAATATATGTAATACTACAAATAAAATATATAAATATTATTATATATATTTGAGATAAAAAGAAATTAATTTTATAATTTTCACAACTTTAGTAATTACTACAATATTATTTAATGGATTATAAAATTTTGATAAATATTACTAGCAATAAATAAAAATGTATATAATAAAAAAATAATATAATAATGTAGTTTTTATTTTATAAAATGACATACACAAGAAGATGATTGAAATAATCAACTTAATAAAGTGTATATTACGAATTATTTTAAAAACGAAAAATGAAAAGTGAAAAAATGTTGAAAAATCAAAATATTTAATCACTCATATATACATATTTGTATAAATAAATAAATTAGTTATTATTATTACTACATTTTTCGATAAATGTTAGATAATAAAAACAATAATAATTTAATTTGAAAATAAAATTCTTTTCTATTAAGATGTTAAATCTAAATATTAAAAAAAGCCAATTATTCATTTTGTATATTAAGTTATACTTTAATTATTTAAATAATAAACAATTGCAAATTCTGAAAGCTATTCTGATAATGATAAATATAACTATACCAACATTAACTATAATATTGCTAATGGTATTATTTTTTTTTTTTTTTTTGTGGCAAGAATGTGAAAAGTATCGATGAACACTTTTAATAAGAAAATCTACATTTGGTTGCGCAAGGGGTTTTAATATATTAAAAACCATATAATATTTCTTCCATTGTCCAATTAGTGTGTGCAATCTCGAAATAGTTAAAATTATGTTGACAGGGTAGCATATAGTCATCACTGACTAAGTACTGAAGGTTTGCATTATATGTCTTATAATATCGTCAGATAGAATTCCAGAAATCTCTCAAAGATATAAAATAATGTTATATATTTGGTAAGAATTACATCAGTATTGTAATTTTTAATTAAAAATTTTTTTATTGTGCTTATACAATATTCGCATTTACAATTTATATATATATATATATATATATATATATATATA